ATATATATGAGATCAAACTTGAAATGAGTTATTCCCATTTTCTTTGCTCCTTTATTCTATCATTCACTACAAAGAACTATATGTCCAAACAAATGTAAATGACTTTGTTTGGGCCTTGTCTATACTAATCCAGGCTTTTTTTTAACTGGTACTGTTCCTCATTCCAGACCCATCATATCAAACTGAGGATTAAGTCCAAGTTGATCAAAATGACCTAAGCACATCTTCTGATTCCTGCCTTTATATGCTACATTTTTTAGATCTGGATCATTCTGATATCATGAGTGTTCGTAATGATATGGCTTGATTTCTAATTAGGACAATCCATTGATTTGGTCTGAATCATATTTAGTTATTCTACTGAGAAATTTTTGATGATTTTCAAAAAAATTAAGGTTTTATTTCAGACAGTGCAACAGATCCAAAGGTAATGCATTCTATATTTTGACTAAATCGAATAATTGAAATCTATTTAACCAATGCACAATAGCTGGCTAATTCACCATATATGTATAATTTTGTGACTTAATCCTCAGTTTGATGGGATGGGTCACATTTATCAAAATACAAAACAAACAAAAACAATTTTGCCTCACCATGATAAGAACATCCACATTATTGACTAATCAAAAAGAGGAAAAATTATTCCCTTGGACAAAGAAGCTCCAAAATCAATCATAGTTCAATCTTTTATTTTTTTAATGGAGTGGGACCTTAAGAAGAAAGAACAATAAAAGTAAAACAGCATATACGTTGAAAAATCCTATGTCCCCAAAAAAGTAAGACACTTTTAAACATAAAATAGTGAAGTAATTAGTCTTTCCCCAAGATTAATCACATCATGCAAATATTCTCCTTCATTAATTAGGATTAGAATGCTACTAGGCAAAACACACACACACACACACACACACACACACACACACACACACAGAGAAAAGAGAAAAGCAAAACTTGCTGCAAAACTGTAAGTTGTGATAAAACTGTCTGAAGAGTTGTTCAGTCTTGTTTTCCTCTGGCTGAACACAATCTTCCAGCAAATTTTCAGGTTTTTCAAAAAAAAAATGTAATCTCAGCACAAAATCTGGAAGGCTGTTATTTCAACCCACAGTACAGAACTTTGTGTATTTTTCTTTCATTTCAATGGGTGCATGTCGTACAATTTCCTGAAGTGTTTAATATTCAGCTCGGAGGCATAGTGGGAGCTGAATGGAGTTCATGTCAGTGAACATTTGCCACCTGTATGAGTCAGACTGGATGTTCCAGTAATGATCCAAAGTCATGTTTAACAAATGGATTTCCTCT